TTGCTCGACTAAAGGCTGTTCTAAGCTCGTCTGTACGAGTAACGAACCGCTCTGCCCAGCATTTGCCTAAAGGCTCGCCATCTCGTTCGCGTAGTAGTTTCTCCGCCATATCTGCTACTTCACATAGACGGGGGGCAAATCCTCGCGAGTCTAGGTTAAGAATATATCGTACGATAGTTTGCTCTTCAGACTTAGTTAGCTTCTGGCAATTTGGCTGTGTTGTAGGTCGAAAGGTGATTCCTTGAAGCCGCCGAGAGATCTGCTGATGATGGACGTTGTAGGCTGCTGCAGCGCGTCGAATGCTCTTAAACTGGCCTGTACGATAGGCCTGAACAGCTAGAGTAAGCCTACCTTCTTGCTGAGTTAATATCGCGTTCTGTTGTTGGGGCATTATCTTTCGTACGTGAAGTTCGTGATGCCAAGAAAAAGTGGCACACTCGGTGATGTGGCCCGCTCGGTGATGGAATACGTTAACCTTAATAACTACTAGGTCTAGTACATTTTTAACGTGCGGGTTACTAAAGAGATTTGCTAAGTGTTTGCTACTACTTTTATAAGTGTCGCTTTCTTGTTATACATCTAAATTAGCTAACTAGTGTAGCCTAAGCTTTGCTAGGTCTTTAACATGTTCTGCCATCTAAGGGGGCTATTGCCCTACGATGCTACCTTTAGTCCTAGCCTTAGTAGTTATTCGCCTATTGTCGCCTGTACAACGCTCCATGCCCGTTAAATCTTAGGTGGCCAACCCTCGTACCTTAAGGCCTTCCTCGTCTATTCGCGTGGCGCCCTTAATGCTACATTTTATAATAACTGTGCGCTAGTCTTAGATAGGGCGAAGGAGTTGACGGCCTTTGCTAGTTGTGTCTCTATCTATAGAGAGTAAGAGGGTGCGTGTAGTAATTGCATCTAGTAGGACTATAGCGCCTGTTGTTTAGCAGGAGGAGGGGATGGTTCGTTCGTCTGTACGCCAGCTAAGCGTCGTCTTCTAGGCACTAAGAGGGGTTGTTTAGCCTCTAGGGGTAGCGCTAGGTCTTTGTTACTTATTAAGTAGCTTTCGCCTCTAGCTGTTTTGTAGCTGGCCGTTAGGTTTTTATATAGAGGAAGTTTAGGCGAGACATTTATCTAGGGCCTTTGTGTCTTTAAGTGCTATAGCTAGTTCCTAACTTCCCTCTAGGTAGCCTATCCAAATGACGAGATATTGCAGTTCTCTGTTTCGCATTCGTTCGTCTGTAATTCCTTGTATAAGCTATTCTAAATAGTCTTCTTCTTCTTCTCTATCTTCTCGTACGACGATAGCTGTAGGGCTGCTATTATCTATTTGTTGTAATAGCAAGGGGTCGTTAGATGCTAGCCTTAGCTTGTCTACGTGGAAGGATTTTGTCTCCTAGGGCACTGCAAGTTCTACCTAGTAGGGGTCCCGTACGCAGGCGACTTAGTACTTTCTACTTTTCTAGTCTAGCTTTTTACTTATCTAGGCTATTTATATGTTGCGTAAGTCTAGCTAAGCTTAGTCTCCTACTTTATAAGTAGGCGATAGTTTATAAGATTTGTTTGCTTACTTCTCTTGCTCTTGTTAGGCGTAAGACATTGCTAAAACTGCCTAGTTTGCTGCATCACTAATTGTACGTACTATCTCTTTAGCTACTACGCTCGCTTCTTAGTTATCTAAGATAGCTTCTTTTTAGGGAAATAGGGTATTATAGTAACTATAGTGGAGAAAGAAAGGGAATACACCTATAAAGGCGTTTGTATAGGAGTTAAGCATAAGTTCTAGAAGAGAGTAAAGCTAAGCTTAATTGTCTTAGTCGTAGTTGTAAAAGATCTATACAACTACTTCTATGTCGCTATTAGCTTGTTCTATTATCTTGTCTATTTGTGGGTGGTAAGCTATAGAGAGATTCCGCTAAATATTAGTAGCTTGTAGATGTTTTCCTATAGTGAGCTTGCGAACTAGGGGCTACGGTTGGACGTGATAGACTATAGAAGGCTGTAGTGGCGGTAGACTTCTCGTATAAAAGCCTAAGCAACGTCTATTATCTTAATCTTATTTATAGGGACTAGTACAACGCCTTTCCCTAATTAGTCCTTTACTACTATTAAGTTCGTGTTTCTAAGAGAGTTAGGAAGGCCTATAATACAATTAACTATAAGGTGCTGCTACGTACAACTAGGCATAGGTAGGGGCTTTAAGTAACTAAACTTTCTGTCCTGCTAGGGAGTGCTTTTGTGGCATAGCTCGCAGTTCTATACAAAGCGT